GAAAGAGGTTGGCAGCCTCTGCCAGCAAAAGCTGAAGGGAAGGCTCCCTGTGCCTTCTCCCTGGCTTGCTCCTGAAATTTGTTCCTACAGTCTCTCGTTAGAGAGGCTGGGTGACCTCTCCATGCCTGGCTTGCTTCTATGATAACTCTGACCAGAAGACCTTTGGCTTGCTCAAACAGGAGCATTAGTCCTCCCTTCACCTTCTTCCTTGGCTTGTTCCAGTCATACATTTAGATCTGCAGATTCTCCCGGGAAGTAGTTTCCACATGCATAGAGCACCCCAACTTTTAGAGCTGTCACCCAAGGGACTGGCTCTTAAATCACCTAGCTCTGGGTGAGGACAGAGCACTGCACTCCTGAGTCTCATAGGCCACAGAGAACACAGAGGTGAGTTTTAACTTCGGAATCTTCAGCAGCTCTATCTTCAGATTCAACCAGAGTGCCAGGATTATGACTCAGACCTCTCCGTGTAGTGGGGCTGAGTGAGTGAGGGCTATGCTGGCTCCCAGGGAAGAGCTGCATGGCATCAGTCTGGGCATTTCCTGCACAGGACTCCAAAAGCGCAAGCAACAAAAGCAAAACTAGACAAATGGGCTTGCTGCACACAAAAGGCTCCTATACAGAAAGTAAGCAATTATTAGAATGAAAAGACAGCCCTCAAATTGGGAGAAAATATTTGCAAATTATATATCTGTAAAGGACTAGTATCCCAAACTGACAGAACTCAATAGCAAGAAAAAAAATAACCTGATTATAACGTGGGCAAAGTATCTGAGCAGACATTTCTCAAAACAGAGAAACAAATGGCCAGCAGATAGAGCGATAGCCATCCAAAAGCTCTCTGTCTCTACTCACCAGGGAAATGCAAATGAAAGCCACAATGAGACAGTCATCTCATGCCTGCCAGAACCGCCATCACCATAAAGATGAATAATAGCAAGTGCTGGCAAAGTGTAGAGAACCTCGGTCAACCGGTGGTGTGTGGTTAAGTGGCTGGATCCCACATGGTCGACTGCAGAGGTTCAAGTCCTGGACCCAGTGGCTTCGAAACATATCTGGAGGTAAAGGGACTGCAGCAGGGCCATCTCCCCTGAGAGGTTGATTTCTCTCTCTCTCTCTCTCTCACTCACTCTCTCTCTCTCACTCTCCTTCTCCTCTTCCCTACCTTCCTGGAGAGTGCCTGCTCCCTATAGCAAGCTATATATATTAAGAAGAAAGAGAACCACTGTACACTGTTGGTGGGAAGATAAATTAGTACTTTTTAGGTTTACTTTTTTTTGTGGAGTGTGCGAGTGTGTGTGTGTGTGTGTGTGGTGTTTCAGACAAGAGTCTCACTATGTCACAAGCCTTCTGCCTCAGTCTCCCAAGTAGCTGGGACCACAGATGTGCACCACCGCACCTGTCTCTTTCAGACATGGCCTCACTTTCTTGTCTGCAGTGGCCAGGAGCTCTGTGGCCATGGTCTTCCTGCCCCAGCCTCCTAAGTAGCTACAACAAGTGCACACCAGCATGCCAGCCTTTACTTAGGGTGCACCTGGAATTGAACCCAGGTCTCCCGTGTGTCCTCATCTTGCCATGTAGCAGTGCCCAGCGAATGCTACCACAGCTGGGCAGTTCACTAAATCTACTTTGGAAAATAGTATGGTGGTTACTCAAAATGTAAAAAAATATAGAATTATCCTCTGATCCAACAATCCCACAGTTAGGGATCTATCCAAAGGAACTGCAATGTGGAAGAGCTATCTGCATTCCCATATTCATTTCAGCTTTATTCAAAATGTACAAGGCGTGGAAGCAAGCTAAGTGTTCATCAAGAGAACAACGAATAAAGGAAAATGTCACGTATAGTCACACTGGAGAACTCTTCAGTTAGAAAAAAAGAAGGAAATCCTGCCATAGGTGACAATATAAATTGAACTGGAGGACATTACATTAAGTGAAATAAACCAGGTGTAAAAAGACAAATACTCTATGAACTCACTTAAATGGAGAGTCTAAAAAAGCTGATCTTACAGAAGCACAGAGTGAAAAGGTGGTCCCGAGAGGGCAGGGAAGGGGGCAGGATGGGGAAAGAAAAGATGCTGTCCAAAGGATCCTAAGTTTCAGGCAGGCTGTGGGGATACATTTTAGTGACCTACAGGACTGCATGGGGACCACAGTTATTCATAATGCATGTATATTTCAAAAGAGATTTTTAATGTCTTTTAAGACAGAAAAATAAATTGGTGAGATGATGGATCGATCACTGGATCCTGTCCTGGAATCCTCAACACATACTACAGGGAGTCAGCACTACCAATCAGAACGCTGGCACCAACGCTGCAGCCCATTCGTCAAAGCTGCTCTCAGTGACACTGTTCAAGATGTTCAACTGGGAAACCGTCCCAGCAGGCAGCTGCTAGGATGTGTGGTCAAGAAGGGCTGACTTCCCCCAATTTGTGAATGCATGGAATTCTTAAAAAGCAAAATGGAAAATAACATTACAGCAGACAATATGACTTAGAGAGGGATAAATTTGAAAAGCTAACTGCCACCTACGATCTTTTGATAGGATGGCTCAATTCTGATAATATGGGCACTTCAAAATAACAATTGTCCATTTAGGAGAAAAGCAAGACATTGGAACAATGGTTTCCTTAACTTCTTGCACTAGAAATTAAGGAATGCTACTGGTAACTGATAAACTGGTAAAACTATTTCAATAACATGTATTTATTATGATATAAAGCCATGAATAGTTGAATGGTTTTAAAAAATCTGAGAACTTGATGAAGAATTTGGTACCTGGAGAACCCAACACCTCAGCAATAAAGATGATACATTTTCTCTAAAAAAGGGAAGAACAACTTATGGTTGTTCAGAACAATTTATGGTTGTTCTCATCTAAAATCAAATGCCTTGCAAGCCTTTAAAAAAATTCTTGTGTGATTTGATCTCTATTCAAGGAAAGTAAAACAGAAATACAATGACAATTGCTGAGTTTTAGTTGTCTTAATTTCCAGGAAAAAAGCATCTCCATTGAAATGTATTTTAAAATATATGCAATTGTGAACTATAGGTCATACTTTTAGTTTCCAAATAAAACTGAAAATTAAGTTCAACTTTTGGAAGTAAAAAAATTCACCAATAAAAGTACATTTAAGGTAAAATACATTGTTTTGCTGTAATTATGCATTCACAACCTCACTAACATAAGTCAAAGACTTGTATAATCAAACACCTCAGAGAAAAACATACTTCAATCCCAAATCAGCTTGGATAAAGAACACAATCTGACTAAGGCCCTCATCCACATTAAACAGTATTAAGCACTGTCTCCAGCAGATAAAAACCACACCACTGTCCATTCCATTTTGTCCGGATACAGTTAGCCACACAGTCATACTTATAACCTGACGCAAATTCCGTAACAGTTCTCGAGTTACACTGACAGTTCAGGAAAGAACACTTTGAACAACAAACAACTAAAACTATACGCTACAAAGCATTAAGACAAGATCTTTACATATAGTTAAGGTATGTTTCCTTTGAAGTAACTAGTATGTGAGAATATTCTGACCTTAGCCAAATTTACTGTCATGAAATGTCCTTTTATTATTACACTCTTCCATGATTTTATATGTAAATTCTTTGGAAAATGAGAATAGGCAACACATGAAATAATCTTATTTGATTATAAGATTATAGTTTCTTATATTACTAAATTGGGTACCTTCCAATGTCACTGTTATTTGGGATTATGATAGAACAAACTAATTAGTAGGCAAGTCATTGTCCAGCTAGGCACTCACTTCAAGGAGGAGGGAAAACACATGTTTCTGTGAACTATACAAGCAACTAGCATGGAATGTTTTCATACAAAATATGAAAACCGACATGAAAATAAACATTTTGTGAAAACATACTGTTATAACAAATATATCATTTTTCTAGAATTCTATTAATAACACTGGAAAATGCTTGTAAAATATTCTCCTTACCTGTGTATACAGTTTTTACTGGAGAGATACAACATACCAGAAGCAGCATCTAAAGAGAATTTCACTAACAGTTTGAGTTTTAGTTCATCCTTCTTCTTTCTCAGAAAGGAGAGGAAATCACCACCTAGAGGAATTGAAAGATAAACAATGGGACAAAATTATGATGAAATCACATTTTAAGTGAGGATAAAAGAAAATATGAAAGAGCACCATAAATTTTCCTAGATACAGCTTAAACACTTTACGTATTTCATACTGATATTACTCAAGGCATAATTATCACTTCAAGTCCTAATTTTTTCTTTGTCACTATCGTTGTAAATTGGCTTCACTAAAATTTTCAAAGAAATTGAATTTTCTCTAGTACAAAATAAAGGATTGTAATTACTATGACTTAAACAAGTAAATAATATTGGATTAGTTATTAGATTCAGTGATTTTAATAAAAAAGTGACTATTAATAACCAAACTGATAGTAGTGTCAGACAGAGAAAAAGGAAAACACTGTAATTTTGATAAGATTTTGTTTTGATCTGGTCTGTATTTTTGTGCATCAAATATATTCCAGTGAAGTCATAGAAAACTTTGTAAGCCACAACAGTTCTGGACAAACATGGTCCTCCCTCAGTATCCATGGGGAGTTGGTTGCAGGACACCTTCTTTCCTGGTGAAGACCAAAATCTGTAAGTGCCCAAATCCCTTTTAGAAAATTAAGACACATTGGCATATAATCTACACACATCCTCCCATATATTTAAAATCCCTATTGGATTCTCTGTAATCTCTTAACACAGTGCCAATGCTACGTAAGTAGTTTTCATTAACCCAGTAAGTCCAAAATATTATGACATTAACACGTCAGTGTAAAAATCACAGTTGAGATATTTTAATTTTTTATCATAAGAAGTCTTTTAAATACAAGATTTATTTTATTTTTATGGAACATCTCAATTTAGATGCCAATTTTTATCTGAAATACTTGAAATGTTTTTAGATTCCGTGAAATTTACAAATGAAAAAGTAGTTCATATACCTTAATTGTTCTAAAAATGCTTAAAATTTTCCAATGAATCAAATATCGGTTTGTTGGTCTCTGATACTTGAAAGTTGACAACTTCTTTGTGTCCTGGCAACTCTACGGCTGTCACCATGACACAAAACGAATACATTGAATTACATCATAAATACTAGGGATACTGTTTGGATTACCATGAGAAAAAGAGAAAGAAAGAAAGTCGGGAGGCTCATGAACGTTCAAAGAGAGAAAAAAGGATGATTGGTGTGAAGGCTAAACTATCATAAACAGCGCCATGCTGAGAAAATACAAATGAAAAAGACTATCAAGATGCATGAAAAGAGGAACACCAAACAGAAGGGTGATGAGGAGACTCCACAAGAGACTCCTGCTATCTGCTGGACAGAGAAGGACAGTCCTGGGCTAAAGTACTTTCCAATACGAGTAAACAAAAACAGAAAGAGAAAGCAGGAAAATCGGAATTTCCTCTACTCAAAGTATGAGCCCAGGGAGAAACAGAAGTATTAAAAGTTATTCGAACAGAAAAGAGAAAGAAGGCATGGAAGAGGATGGTTACAAAAGTCTGCTTTGTTGGAGATGGCTTTACCAGAAAGCCACCTAAATATCAAAGATGCATTAGGCCAATGGGCTTATGTTTCAGGAAGGCCCACGTAACACATCCTGAATTGAAAGTTACCTTTCGCCTGCCAATATTTGTGTAAAGAAAAATCCCTCATCCCCACTATAAACAACTTTGGGTGTTATCAGCAAAGGTACTGCCATTGAGGTGAATGTGAGCGAGTTGGGCCTTGTGACACAAGGAGGCAAGGTTATCTGGGGGAAATATACCCAAGTTACCAACAATCCTGAAATGATGGCTGTATAAATGCTGTCTTACTGGTCTGATAGCAGTTGCATACAAGTAACTCCTTGTAATTTTTGAAGATGATACACCAATCTGGAAAACCATCATGACTGATGTTTCTGAATATAGCTGGTCTTACATGTCTGCAGTCATCAGAAGATTATTTATTAAACTGTACGAAAATATAAAATGGCCTCGTTTTAAAAAAAAAAATCGAGTATCAATTTTTAAATTTACATTGATTAAATTAAATTTAACTTCAGATTTTTAGAAGCATTAGCCAAATTTTAAGAACTTTAGAGACACATATGACCAGTGACTAAGCACACTGAATAGTGTAGCTTTCGACTTCGCATTCATACTTAATAGAACATTAAAAGCTATTGTGTGATTATTTTTCTTTTCCATTGGTTAATTTGCAGTTTATTCCACTATAAAAATAAGTTAAAGTATGTTAGAAAACATGTTTCTCTAAAAACAACCATTCCCACAATATAGTCCCCCAGATTTCAAGTCAGAAATTTGTTGGGAGGATTAGCATTTTAATTGCAGTTTCCTGAACTTTTGTTCACTCTCTTCACCAGGGATCCAGGTTGTCTTAAATAGAAAAGCTCTAGAGGTGAGTACTTAATGATCTTTTCTTTAATGAGAGCCTCTAGAATGTAAACACTTCTCTAACTCTCCTTAAAATGTTCCCATTTTCTAATTTTTGCCCTCATTCACAAATCACATGTTACACAAATTTAGAGGGGCTATTGCCAGAGTCAATAAGCTATGTTTTAAAAATAAACCTAATGGTGTCAGATAATTTGCTTTTTCCTGTTCTTTTTAAGGGAATACCAAATGTATAAAACTACTAGGATGATTACAGAAATAGTTTCTATGAAGCTGAACTTAAAAATCTGAATGAAAACACATAATTTCAACAGTACATAGCAATACTAATTTATACGAACTATAATAGATACCAAAAATGCCCATTAAAATGGACTTGAAGACAATATTTAGTTCAGTAAGTTACTCGGACCAAATTTACATGTTAATTCTTTTACTAGATTGGTTTGTTTTAGAAAATTCTCATCCTTCTGGTCTTAAAACCAAACAGCATTCTGTAGACCCCATGGAAAAACTCAAATGAAATGATCTTTCTTTTCTCTAACTTGATTCCAAAGCAGCATATGATATAGCCCTGGAGTTCTGTGGAATTCTGACATTCTTTATCTCAAAGTTAGCTGAGATTTAGCACCTTTTCATCAACCTCCTGGATTTTTAAAATGTGCTTCTTCAGGAACCAGCAGGTGGCATAGTGGTTACGTTGCTGGACTCCCACCCAGCTGACCAGTGTTTGAGTCCTGGATGCAGTGGCTTGAAAATCATGCCGGGCACGTGTGTGTGTGTGCCCAAAATCAAGAGGAGAATAGAGGAGAAGACAGCCTGCTGCAGTCCCTCCTGGGGTAGGGGGTGATTTCTCACTACCTTTCTCTTTCTCTCCCCCGCAGTGAGTACACATGCCCCAAAGCAAAAACCTCTTAAAACAAAAAGTGTACTTCATATAATCCTACTTACAGTTTCCACCTGCCCCCGAATGTAAACCCTGTAAAGAGAATTCTACCTCTGCTGTCTGATATTTGTTGCTAAATATCAAGGAATTACTACAAGTAAATTACCATTCAATTACTACTATTGTAAATATTGTTTAATAATACATAATATATTAACGAAGAAACGACAACACTTACCTAGCATTAAAATAGGTTAAGAAGTGATGTCAAGTCAATAAAGGTGAAGTATTAGGAAGACGGAACTATGTACAGTGGTTTCACAACAACGCAACACAGTCAGACACAGGATTTCCAGTGGTCTTAGAGTTAATCTGGACACTTCTGCCATAAGACAATTTCTTGCTTAAAATCATTAAATCTTGGGAAGTAAATTTTGAAATTATTTCCAGTTTTTTGTTACTGAGGCTGCGGGTAATGATTTTAAGTAAAGGAACAGAGTTGCATCATGCCAAAGGCCAGTCAGCTTTCTGCAGAAAGCTAGAGGGAAGCAAGAGCTTCGCAAAAATTGTTAATTATTTGTGTGAGTGCGTCCAAGAAGAGCCCTGAAGCAAGAAGCAAACTCCCAGGAGGATAAATAAGGAACTAAAGTTAGAATACTCAGAATGACCCAGCTATAGCCCCTCAGCCAGGATTCTTTTTTTCTTTTTCCTTTAAGGTTCTTGATATATGGTGGGTGCAATCACCAGAGAGAGACAAAGAGAGGGAAACAGAGAAATCACCTTTCTCCCAGGGGGTAGCCATGCTGCACGCCCTTCTCTTCCTTCTATCAGAATTTCGGACACACATGCACTTGTTCCTGGAGTGATTTTCAAGCCACTGGGTCTAGGGCTCAAAGAGAGGCTGGCCGTGTGGGAGCCTTAGCCACTGCACCACTTGCTGGCCCCTAGGCACCATTCTTGACCATGACCAGTGAGGGAGGACGGTCTGGAGACTGCTATCAGGTGACAGAGTATTCCATGTTCATTGTGATGTTTCTTTAGAGTGCAGGGCCGAGCCTTTTCAACACATTCTTTGTCTCTCTCAGCAAGGGCCAAATTAAAAACTTCTCTTAGAGCGTGTGACATACTCACACGTAAAACACATAGGCATGTAAGTACACATATGTGTATACATGTATGTGCACATATATGTGTGTGGATGCACATGGATAGACTGTGTCCTACCTGGCTGTAAGAGGTCTGGGGCTCAAAATAGGCAAACTGAGGTAAGTAATTGCCCTTTTGTAATTTTGTCTTAACAAAGCTTATTTTAAAAAAAATTCAGAATTATTTAAATTTTATTTATTACTATTTTTAATTTTATCAGAAAGAGACAGAGAGAGAGAAAAAAAAAAGAAAGTGAGATAGCAAGCTGCCAGGTTCAGGACTCAAAGCACAGTTGGCCATGTGCCAGTCTAGCACCTTAACCACGATGCCACCTGCTGGCCCCAACAATGAGGGCAGTCCCTCATTGGCTTACCTCAGTCAGTGAAGGCCATTCCCCTGCTGAAGGGATTTGTTCAGGTAAGGGCTTAAATTAAGGCCCCTGAGATGGAAGGAGACGCTTGAAGGATGAGGGAACCTGTTTTTTGAGAGAAGTACCCAGGAAGAAGTGCAATTGGAAGCAAAAGAGACAGCACAAGGAATGGCAGTCTGACAGAGCATTTTTGGGTGATTTTATGGAAGGAAGAAGAGAATTAAGAA